TATATATATTTGTATATATATATATATGTATATATATACACATATATATATATATATACATATATATATATATATATATACATATATATATATATATATATATATATATATATGTATATGTATATATATATATATATAGTATGTATATATATATATATGTATATGTATATATATATATATATATATATATATGTATACGTATATATATATATATATATATATATATATATATATATATATATATATATATATATATATATATATATATATATATGTATGTATGTATGTATTTATCTATATACATGACGTTTTGTTGTTCTCTCCTAGTGAGGATTGTAATTCAAGCTATCAATAGAAGGATGATTTTTAATTCTATGGAGATTCAATGTTGATTATTATTATTATTGTTTTTTGTATGCACCTAAATAAGTGTAGGGTTTTTTTCATTGGTTATAATTTCATGACTAGTTATAAATCCTTGTGCAATTTTGTTTTCTTTTTTGTTTAATTCTTTAATTCTCCTAAGGTACTTCAACTCTATCTATGTCCCTTCACCAGTCATATTTAAGTTTCTTATGGCACATCTCTTCAAAAAGAATAAAAATGTAATTGTGGCAATGAGTATTTGATTATGCATTCAATTCACATTTTGTTTTGGAGAAGGGAGTCAGGGACAGTGGCAATGCGGATGAGTCACTTATAATACTCTCTCTTTTGTTGGCAGCTTGAATTTGTTTTTGAGCATTCTGCATTCGGTAGGGCTCGTAGTACTTAATGTTACTCAAAAGTAATGAATCATATGGGTTGAACTAGTTATTTAGTGTTTCAATGCAGGGTTCAATGTGGAGACTGTGGAGTACAAAAACATTAGCTTCACCGTTTGGGATGTTGGTGGTCAGGACAAGGTACCATAATGCCTGATGTAGGCAATTATTTGACATGGAAAAATTGGTTGAATATATGGGTGTCATTATAATTCTCTGCAGCTTGCAATGCCAAACAATTACTTGTCAAACAAAATTATTACCTCTAACAATTCCTTCTGGTGATACGATCCTTGGACGACAGATCAGACCCCTTTGGAGGCATTACTTCCAGAACACACAGGGCCTTATTTTTGTTGTTGACAGCAACGACAGAGATCGTGTTGTTGAGGCAAGGGATGAACTCCACAGGATGCTTAATGAGGTAGCTCTTTCATTTGGTTATTGCTCTTTTGAGCTCTTTGGGTTTTTGTAATGTCATTGCCTACAAGTGATAAAGCCAACTATCCCTGCTCGCAAAAACTTGTTATCTATTTGCTTTTCCTACTTTAGTATCAGACTTGATACATAAGTGTATATCCTATGTATGGCAGATTATTTGACATGTGCATATCGATCAGACATTAACATCATAATTTGTATTTGGATTCTCACTTGGTATTATTGTAGGACGAATTGCGGGATGCTGTTTTACTTGTTTTTGCAAACAAACAAGATCTTCCAAATGCAATGAATGCTGCTGAGATCACCGACAAGCTTGGTCTGCATTCCCTGCGCCTACGACACTGGTAAGACACTTTGCTTTTGCTAAGTTTAGAGTCTACTGGTGAACTTGTTCATTTGTTTGTCAAATCACCTTGTCATGATTGATAACTGTCAAAATCAAATTCACAAGGTTGTAGATGAAGTTGAGCAACAGTGGCATTTTCATTTTGTTAGATTACTTGTAGATACAATTGATATATAATTAATATGATCATGCCATAAAAGAAGAAAGTCCTTAATTGCCAAAGAAAAGAACATTTGTTTATGATTGCTCAAATTATCACTAGCGAAGATTTAGCAAGCATACTTAGTGAATTTATAAATGAACCACATATAGTGATATTTACGTATGCGACTTCTATAACTATCATATATAGGCAACTATTGCATGAAAAGAATCTTTTTTGTTCTCTTTTTTTTTTTTTTTTACAATTTGAAGAATTCAGCAATAACCAAGCAAGGCAACAAAATTTTGTAGATGTTCATAAAACATTTTGAGACTGAGGAGGCCCCTGTCCTCTCTAACTTGACATATTAATTATGATTGTGTTCAGGTACATCCAGAGCACCTGCGCACGAGGGGCTTGATTGGTTATCCAGCAACATTGCCAGCAAAGTATCTTCTCTGATCTTGTCTTTCATGTTCTCATCTATGCTTCTAGATTTTGGTTCTTCATGCATGCATGATTTCCTTTGACATATGATTTGAGCAAGATTTACTAGCTTGTACACGTTTCTAACATAACTGAAACATATTCTACCCTCCTAAACGTTTATTTGGTATTTGCTTTTCAGGCTTAAATTGCCAGGAGGTGCCTCTTGTCGAGATATTCTCCCTTTATATCAGTGCTGGAACATGAGAACCATCAGAACTTTCAGAGTAATTATGTGTATTATTTCACATCAGCTTCTTGAATTTTAGTACCATAGATTTTGCACGTTTGAAAATATAGATTTCTAGGCTACATTGTGTTTTCTAAATCCACTTTTTATCGCTCATTGATATCATCTCAATAGTTACCAAGCCTGCTTTTCTCTACTTTTTGGATGTTGATTCTTTTGGCATCGCATAAACTCATATATGTGCTTAACAACTTGGTAGGATCTTAGAGGATTTAACCGCACAAGAGTTGTCCGGTTCTTTAGATTGTTTCATGCGTTCCGTTAAGTTTCAAGGGAAGCAGTTCTACTTATGATGCTTTAGAGTTCGGTGGACCTGTAGATGCTCGATGAGGATGTGGATCGGAGAGACTGTTATCTAAACAACGCAGGAACATACGGCACAAACACACCCACAAGTTTGATGCAATTTGATTCAAGATTTTCTGGTCCAGAGCAAGCAACGATCGGATTCATGGAGGACAATCCATGGGTTCGTGGTTGTCAACCTTGAGCTGCTTCACCGGCCTTTCATTGTGTTCTCCTCTTGAAGCTAGAACTTGATTCAACCCTGGAATATAAACAAATAGGAAGCAGGAGTCAACAATGTACCACTGAGGTTATGAAGTTAAAATGAAGGAGATTTAAAATCCTATAAACCTAGTTCTATAGGAAATGTTTCTTCTGTCCATAAAAACACACAATTTTTTTTTCTTTTCATATCTAGGCCACACATAAATATAATCAAAGAACACATTTGGAAATGCCCTTGCATATCTAGGAGGCTGATTAATCTCCCCTTTACAGAACTTAGCCACCAAATATTTCCAAGTGTTGGAAGCATCCTGCAAAGTGCAAACCATATCCCTGCCCCTAAAGATGCAAACAAGTGGTATAGTTCTCATATTGTCCATTCTCCCCTGCTTCCCATACTGATCAGTGTTCTATGTTGCATGAAGGAGCAGAGAAGGAATGGACCAATAAATCTACAAGCAAAACCTGAACCTGACCAAAGATGAGGCACTGTTGTCTTGCCTGTGGACCACGGTTTCAGCCACAAAGCTGTTATATCTGCCCTGATTCTGATGGCTGCTTGAGCGATCAGTAGAACCATCTACTTAAACCCAAATGGTAACTGAAGTCTCCAAGAATAGAAGTCTTAAGAGGAACAATACTACATTAATACAAGAAACAAGTCTAGTGGTTCTTTCACCTGAGTTCGACATAAATGATCTGATGGTACCTGTTGTTAATGTCTTTATAGTCATTGGCATCCAAGAAGTCCTGCTCAAGATTCTCATTTAGGTATCCAAAGACCAAATAAGCAGGGTGCTTGTCTTCATCATCATCATTGGTGATGAGGATAGTAATTACGATAAGACCCGGCTGACGTCAGCCGCGCCTCACGCCTCGATCGACGTGACGGTACCCGATCAAACGGACCAGAACACAGCCCGAGGCGCATTAACGCCCGCTCAGGCTCGGCTCTTCACGCCACGCAACGCTAGTGTCAGACGCCACCATCTGCCCCTGCAAGCGGGCACATCAAACAACAGCAAGCTTCCCTATAAATACCCTCGCGCTCTGAACGAGCAGGAGGAGGGAAGGGGGACCGAGGGAGGAAAGAACACACCAGGGAGTCACCTCAAACTCTTCTTCTTTCTACCCCCTCCACCATCTGCTGACATGATCGTCGGAGGGGTCGGGTCGCGCGTCCCGACCCGACCTGTGTGCAGGACAGCAGACGGAGCGCGTCCCCAGCCGAGGAGCCCCCTCCGACGGAGACAGCTGACCCCGTCCTGATCGGACCGCCGTAGCCAACTACCTCGACGAACCCGAGGGCCGCACCGGGAAGATCCCGCCATCCGGACCCGAACCGAGCTGCGTCGGCCCCGAGGCCACGGCTCCAGGCTATTTACCACAACAGATAGGCGCTAGAAGGAGGGCCCGGAATGTCGGGTCATCACCCGAGCGGCTCAGACGAGCCCACGGCTGATAGGTAGCTCCCGACCGAAGCCTCGGGGGACCATCCCCCGCACGGAGGCCATCGTGACGAACACCCCGCCACGACCTCCGAACGATACTAGCAAATATTCAACGACCCGGGTTTGTCGCCTCCCGACGGCGCCCCCGCCGACTCGACGCCCGTGCCACCTAAGGCCTTTCAGGACCTCGCCCGTAAAGTCCGAGCTCTGATGGATATGGTGCAAACCATCATCCCGCTCGTTCCTCATCCGGCGCACCCACCCGCAGTCCAACCACTACGGCAATACGAACCGCTCGTTCGGGCCCACACGATACTTCCGGAGCCCCCCACTCCACCTCGGGTCCGACCGACCCCACTCGAGGATCCAGTGATGGCAAACCCGAGCGGTCGCCCGGAACCCGAGGCACTCTCTACGGACTCCCTATGGGCCCAATTGCGCTTCGTTAGCCAGCGACTCGACGAGGTGCAGAATGAGGTTCGTAGGTCCAAGGGAGAGCTCGAGGTGGACGAACACCAAGGGTCTCCCTTCACGCCTGAGATACGGGATCAGATAGTCCCCCCGGACTTCCAGCTCCCCTCTCTAGACGCTTACGATGGCTCCGCCGACCCGGCGGACCATGCGACTGCTTTTCGCGCCCAAATGGCGCTATGCGGAACCTCTGATGCCTTGATGTGCAGAGCGTTCCCTACCACTCTGAGAGGGCCGGCCCACGCGTGGTACGACGCCTTAAAGACCGGAACGATCGCTTCCTTCGACCAGCTCGTCAAGGACTTCGAGCTCCACTTTGTGGCCTATGCACGGCCGAAGCCCTCCGCGGCACTGCTCCTCGGACTCAAACAAAGGGAGGACGAGCCCCTCTCTCATTTTGTGGATCGCTTTGCCACGCAAATCCGGGGCCTGCCGGACACTCACCCCTCTCTATTAGTGCAGGCGTTCATGATCGGCCTGCGACCTTCCAGATTCCTCTGGTCCCTCGCGGAGCAACCTCCCACCACGATGCCAGAGATGCTCCAGCGCGCTAACCGGTACACCGCCGCGGAGGCCTGGGCGACCGTGAGGAGAAGGGACGGCCCCCGACCGCGGGCGCCATAACAGTGGTCAAGCACCCGCGGTGGCTACCCAATGTAGTCCTCATGAAAAGAAATCTAAGCCCTGCCTCAGCCTCTTTCGAGCCAAGGTCCAGTATCTACCTGACCCCCTCTCGGCTCGTGGTTAGCTCCGGCTTAAAATCTTCTAAATCTACACGGCTCGGCCATAGACTGTCGAGCCCACCTCAGGGCGGCTTGCCCACCTGAGTTGCATTCCTCGGTCGCAGACTGCCGAGCCCACCTCAGGGCGCCTTGCCCACCTGAGTTGCATCCCTCGGCCGCAGCCCGCCTGCGCCGAGCTCCTTGGCCATAGACTGTCGAGCCCACCTCAGCGCGACCTGCCCGCCTAAGCCACGTCCCTCGGCCGCAGCCCGCCTGCGCCGAGCTCCTCGGCCATAGACTGCCGAGCCCACCTCAGCGCGGCCTGCCCACCTGAGCCATGTCCCTCGGCCGCAGCCCGCCTGCACCGAGCTCCTCGGCCATAGACTGCCGAGCCCACCTCAGCGTGGCCTGCCCGCTTGAGCCACGTCCCTCAGCCGCAGCCCGCCTGCGCCGAGCTCCTCGGCCATAGACTACCGAG